TTTTCGTCATTTAAGGTTTTTAAAACAGTTTTCTTGTTCTGAAATTAGCTCCACCCCATATTTTTGTTGTTGTTGTTGTTGTTGTTTTGTCAGTGTTTTCAGGGAGAAAAGTTAACATGAGTGCTCATTTCTGATCTGCAGTATATATATATATATATGGCATCTGCAATACGTGGATATGAGATGCAGAACCTGGCAACCCTGCCCACAGAACTTTAAAAGAAAGATTGAAGTTCATTAACATGGATAATGAGAAATGCAGCAGGACAGAAAACGCTTTTTTGTGTTTGTACACATTAATGTGGTGTAAATAGAACGAAACTCTGAACACTAAGAAGCTTGCCATGCGGTCATTTTATTTTCATTTTATTCACATTTCACAATCTGTTGTTTTAATAATGTGCATTTTGTACGTGAGTGTTATGAATCAGGATCCTTTCAGTTCAGATGCTGTTAGTTTGCTCCGTCTGAAACAAATGAAAAAAACAAACACGTGACTTCACTGTGTCAGTATTACTTCTTAAGAGTGTGTGAGATATCAGAACCTACCCAAAGTTGGTGGATCACCCAGGACATCCAGTAACATCCTCTGCAGCACAGGACCATAATCCTGATATTCTGTCTCACTGAGAGACACAGCCAGCTGGAACGGTGCACTCACCTGCAGAGCCGTAACGAAGATGCAGAAGTATTGTGTTGAGAGATTAAGAGAAGAAGAAAAAAAAAAAAAAAGAAGGAAAATGATCAAAAGTTTACAACCCAAGAGTAGAAATGCAAATGTCAGCATTGCCTGAGAATTCTGGTCTGAGCTAAAGACATGCATCGGATGTGATTATGCCTATTTTTGTTTGTACCTGCCTGTGATATTTTCTTACAAATTTAGTTCTATTTAGTTTTAGTTCTTTTTCCCAAAATATAAACAAACTAGCAGCTTAATTTAATCTAACACGACCCTGATCAGGCAGTTACTAAGGATAAATGAATGCTGTAAATTGTTCACTCAGCTCTGAATGTGCTCTTTGTTTGTCCCGCAAGATTCATATCTGACCACTCGCTCACGCCCACATGATTTATTTGTCCGGATCCCAGTCCAGATGCACATCTCTAGTATCAACCAGATGCCCTGTGAACCTTTCTGGCAAGTTTTCTTGAAGGAAAAAAGTAGTGGCCTCCTATTTGTATCTGTATTCAGATGTACATGTTTATTGTACAGAGATACGGTTTTCGTTTTATCCATTCAAAAACCATAGGGGGTGCAAACTTTTACACTCAGCTGTAGCTATGTACCATAAAGGTCGCACCTACGTGGCAATAATGATGCGAGCTATTGAAATTCAAACTTAATGAAAGCTAATATGTAATATTTATTATATCCAAAAAAATCAAAGCATCATAATTCCCACCTAGTTTCACCCTTTACAGGTGGTTTTCAGCATGGTATGTGATACAGTATAAAAGCTAAAGACATCAAAAAAAAAGAAAAAAAGTTCATTATGAGATGCTTTCTGCTCACCGTGGTTGTAAAGAGTGATGAAGTTACCGTAGCCTTCCTGTCAGCTCGAACCAGTCTGGTCGTTCTCCAAACCAAATTTGCCTGAAGAACTGGCGCTCACTGGATGCCCCTTCTCCCTCCATCCCTGTGTAATCTCTAGAGACTGTTGTGTGAAATTCCCAGGAGATGAGCAGATACATCTCAGATTAAATACTCAAATTGCATGAATCAGCAGGTAATAAATTAGTCAGTGAGTGTATATTATACTACATCCAAAGTCTAAAGGTTCATCATTACTTGTTCATCGTTACTACCATCTAGTTTACATGGCACTGATCTCTTCATCTTATTCAAATGTGTCACTTTGACGACGGTCCCTAACTCGCAACACGTTCTCAAGCTAACTTTATCTCAGTGTTGTGGATGTGGATGTGCATTGTACTGACTGAACTAAAGGTTAATTGAAAACTAATAAAATGTTGGATTTAAACGTTTACACTTTCAGTGTTTCTATTAGGGTAAGGGTTTGTGTACTTCTTGCACCACTGAAGGAATCGAAATGTCAGTTAATGTCATTTATTTAGTTTTTCGTTATATTTCTCGCCTGATTGTTTGCATACCATGATCTTATCCTCGGAAGGAAGAGGAGACTCGAGCTCAGCTGCAGTCCTCCGTCCCACTCGAGGTGGCTTTCGGTCTCCACGATTCTAAAAACACACACATCTACTGACTGAACCCCTTTTCATCATCTCTAAATATAACTGGTGATATAAACAGAAACAAGTCTTCAAGTGATTGCATACACACACACGTTTGTCTTTCTATTTTTGTGAGGACCTGCTACTGACATAATTCATGTAAATAATAGATGCTATAATTGATTCACCTAAATCCATCCCTAACCTTAACTTCACTAACCAAAAGGAAACCTTTTAGTTTTTAAATAAATGTTGCAGTTTTTCTCATGGGGACCAGCCAAATGTCCCCACAAGCTCAGAACTGTCAGATATTACTATCTGTTATTATTACTATTCTGGTATAAAAGCATGCCTGCACACACACACACACACACACACACACACACACACACACACACACACACACCTGTGGTCTCTGGGATGGACTGAGGAAGCTGGAGCCACACATTGCAGTTTCAGCCCACAAAGAAAAAGCACAGAGAAGCAATATCATGTGACCGATGCGGCCGTGACCCAGCATGGTGAGCATCAGTCTCTGTCTCCCTCTCTCTCTCTCTCTCTTTCTCTTTTGGGATCTTGAGTGAAACCAAGCAGGAAACCAGCAGCAATTACTAAAGTAAAAAATAAATAAATAACCACACACAATTCAAAATAAGGCACAAGCGCCTCAGGCACTTCACTGTTCTAATACTTGTACAATGACAGTAAAGTTGAATCTAATCTAATCTAATCCACCTATTTTTGACACATACACATTCCTGTTTAATGATCTGTTGGCTTTACCAGAAAAAGGGGGTGGGAGGATATTCGTCTCCCCCATCTGGTCATCTGTCACCAGCCAGCTCTCCCCATCACATGACAGCTACCAGTCAGGAAGAGTGAAGGCTAACATGTGCTTCCTCTGAGATATGTGAAGCCAACCTCTGCATCTTTTCTAACTGCTGCTTGTGCTGTGTCACAGGGAGGAAAGCGCTATCCGCCCTCTTCCACATACATGAGCTCATAAACACCTTGTCTTATTGAGTTATTCTAATAAATCAATCAATCCACATCTTTCCTTGACTACTTCTATAATTCTTATTAAACTTCCCGAACATTGTGTTCAGTTTTCCTGCTATTTTAGACATCATTATTAGCATTAATTTTTATTAACATTTTTATTAGCATTAAGAGTTTAAAAATGCGTTAAAAAATCTCACTAAACTCTCACATGAATGAGCTGGTCATAATTTTCCCCCAAAATCTCTTTGGAGGAGAAACTAAAAGGTCACACTGTGCAATCGAAGTGCAAATTACACCAAAGAACAGACGTCAGGACCATATATCAGAAATCACAAATGCACAATGCAGCAGCTGATCTGACTTTACGTGGGTGAATATTATAACCTTTCTGTTTGGTATTAGGAAGAAACATGGTATGAACCCATGTGAGTGTGTAATAATTTGCTCCACTTCATTGTTATTATGATCATCGATGAGACATCATGATGTAATGCATTGCTCAACACTAATAGTTTCATTGTTGAGCTGTTGATAAATATTAGATTTTACTCACATCTGAAAATATATATATCAAAGTATAAATATATACTGTACAAAAATCTAAAAAGGAACTGCACACACTGTAGCACACTGAATTTACTACATCTGCTATATATTTTCACACACACACACACATGTCTGAATGCTTGATGTCTTACCTAGAGTCAGATCATGTCAGGACGGCGTTATGAGTTGGTCTGATCCACTCATGCTTCTTAAATATGCTGAAGCTTATCACCTCTGAGACTAAAGTGAGAAGATGACTGTAAAAAAACGAACATTGTAGAATATCCCTATCTGTTAATGCAATGAATATTTTCAATGCTACAATAATAGCGCTGTTTAAATATTTGAGGTGTGTATGTGTTTGTGTGTATGGGTGTGTGTGTTTAAAGATAAGATATATCGGCTCTTCTGGTGGGTTCACAGTGAAATTCCAAGTGTGCATTAGCAATAACTGGATGAGGAAATAAATGTGTAGGTGAGTAGATTTCTTCCTGAAACACGGCGTGATGAACATAATGAAAATAACGTTTGTTTGAGTGTAAACAACTGCTCATCTCTGGGAACCAAACCATCTCACTCAGCGTGTACACGCAACGATCACAACGGAGACAAGTGTGTAAAGTCTCATGGTTTTGAAGTTGGTTCTTATGACATTCTTGATAGAAATTTATTTGAAAAGAGTCTTGCACCCCGCTCATATCACATTCATAAGCGTTGCATGATTGTTGCATACATAAATATAAAGCAATTTTGGACAATATTTATGAAAGGCTTATATATAAAAAAATGTTTATGTAGGTTTTATGTATTCTCAAAGCAGTTCAGTCATCTAGAAATGGGAAGACTTTAACTTTTGGGTCTTTTCTCTAAATCTGTCTTGTTTTCCTCTGATCTCAAAACCACAAATTGTTTCTTTTCATTCAAGCAAATTTATTTTCCTTTTTACAGTTTTGCAAGAGGTGCAGCAGAGACACAGGAAGTTGGAGCTCTTGACAGATCAGTGACTAAAGGCTATGTTTCTCTTATTCTTTCCTCCATCCATCCATTCTCTGTACCTCTTATCCTACACAGGGTTGCAGGGAGCTGGGACCTATCCTAGGGGACTTGGGGCACTAGGCAGGGGACACCCTGGATGGGGTACCAACCCATCACAGGGCACAATTGCACACACACTCAGCCTGCAATGCATGTCTTTGGACTGATGTACCAGAAATCCCCAAGCCCCCAAAGCAAGGGGAAGACATGCAAACTCCGTGCACACGGGGCAGAGGTGGGAATTAAACCCCCATCCCTGGAGATACCAGGCAAACATGCTAACCACTAAGCCACCTTGCCCCTCTATGTTGTAAGTTTGAGCTACCATGTGTATGAAAAGTGCTTTATAAATAAGGTTTCTCGTTATTATTATTCCCAGAAACAACAGGACGATGGACAGCATCATCCTGTGTTTTGTTTTTCTTGCTCTATCTCCACCCTTGTGTTCTGCCACTGGTTTGTTATCTGACTGTGTTCACCTGTTTTGTGTTAGTTTTAGGAAACAGACAGATTTACGAAAAATCTGGGAGAAAAAAGCTTTTTATTTATTTATTTATTTATTTTGCTGCTCTGACACACAAATTCAAATCAGATATGCAAAAAATCTGAGCTGTTTTTATGAACAAAACTGTTCTCTTCCACACCACCAGAGGGCAACCTCATACTTGTTTTTGAATTACTTCTTTTGTTGTCTAACCCACTTCCTGTCTTTGTGCACAACTGTTTTGTGTGTCCCTTGATTGGTTGCCCTGTTTAAGTTCTGTCCACGTCTACTTTGTCACTGAGTGTTGTTATGTATGTATCATGAGTTGCTTGCATTCATGCTGAGTCTTCCCAGCCTTTCCTTTGTCTAGCCTTTGTTATTGTTTCTTCAAAAGTTTGGTTCTTTCCCTGTCTGTGTTTGTTATTAGTGTCTCACATTGTCTCAGTGTGTCATATGCCTTTATGTTAGCCTTTCTCAGAAGTGGCTTCCTCTTGGTCATTCTTGTATAGAGGACAGATCTGTGAAGAGCCGATGATATTGTTGATGTCTACACAGGTTCTTCTGTTGCAGCCATTGAGCTCTGTGACCCCTTCAGTGTTGTAGCTGGACTCTTGAACATTTCTCTGACAATTTTGCGTGTGTGCTCAGTTTGGAAGGACGGCCTGATCTTGCTAGAGAATGCTACGAGTTGTGCCATATTTTTTTTCGCCACTTTGTTATAATGGATTTCAGTGTTTTTAGTATGAGGTTCAATGGACACCTGACCATCACACGCAAATGTCCTCCTTCCCCAAACTGTTGCCACAAAGCTGGAAGCACACAGTTGTATAGAATGTCTTTGTATGCTATAACATTACAATTTCCCTTCACTGGAATTAAGCGGCCAAAACCAAACCTGTTCCAGCAGGACAATGCCCTTGTGCACAAAGCGAGCTCCATGAAGACATGGTGTGTGAAGTTTGGAGTGGAAGAACTCAAGTGTCCTGCACAGAGCCCTGACCTCAACCCCACTGAACACCTTTGGGATGAACTGGAACACCGACTGCGCCCCAGACCTCCTCACCCAACATCAGCGCCTGACCTCACTAATGCTTTTGTAGCTGAATGATCACAAATCCCCACAGCCACGCTCCAAAATCTAGTGGAAAGCCTTCCCAGAAGAGTGGGGAATAAATCTGGAATGGGATGTTCAGCAAGCACATATGGGAGTGATGGTCAGGTGTCCACCAACTTTTGGCTATGAAGTGTACTATCGTTCCCAACCACCTTAAAACTAGAAGAAGAAAAAGAAGACTCCATGGCGGTAAAGGGCGCACACAGATTTCCTCCCATCTGAATTTTCAAAATTTTTACCACTCTGACCTGTAAACAAAACCAGGTTTTTCTATGGATTCCTCCTGCTAGCTTAGAGAACCTGAACACTACCCCAAAACTATCAGTAATAGTATCTGAGAGCACGTTTTCAGTAATCCAGTCTGGGATCTTTGTGGTGTGAGAAAAAGCAAGCTGTGGCTATACTATGATAATTATGGTATGTCTGTCATAGTTTCACTATTACTATCATTATAGTTGACATAAGTACCACAGTAAAACCACGATAATATGATAGTGAAGAGTTGACCAAACCAGAGTTATCATAAGACACCACAGTAAATTTGTGGCAGTTAAGTATGCGATAAATATAGTTATCATAAAGACCAGAGTAAAAGCATGGAAGCATTACGGTTAAATATGTAATGAGATTTATTGATGGATAATATGCACATTTTCTTTTATTTCTAATGATTAGTGTCACTAAAGCCCACTGCTTATATAAAGATATAATGTGTATGTAAACAGATATTTTCTACTAACTGCTCAGTTTAAGAAATATATATGTTTACATTGTTTTTTCAAACTCGGAAAGAATTTATCGAGATTGGCGAAGATCTAGATGACATTTCTGTAAGAGTACGACGTGGCTAACTCCACAAGTCACGTGATGTACCTCCATATAAAGGACAAAGGACAGTCTTTTGAGAACAACAATGTAAAAGGAGGTTATCTATTTGGAACAGCCATCACTGACCTCAAGAAAACCATTTTATTACACTGGAATGTGTTTGGCACAAAGCCAGGGTGATGATTATCACTTATTATCACTAAAGGGCCATATTCTCTCTCTCTCTCTCTCTCTCTCTCTCTATATATATATATATATATATATATATATATATATATATATATATATATATATATATATATATATATATATGTATAATGCCACAATTCTCAATTCTGATTGGTCAGAAGGTGTTGATAAATTGTCTTTAACAGTACCTCTGACAGTAATGCAGCTGCAAATCACGGCTTTATAAAGTATTAACACGCTCGTTCTAAGACATTGTCGTTTCTATAGTAACAGTTCGTTCACAGGGACTTGTATGGAGGACAATCCACTTAAATAGACTTAGAAGATGTGTGTGATCATTGATATGGTGAGGTTTTCTTGTGGGGATTGTTATTTAACCTTTATGGAAGGAGTCTCCAGTTTCAGAGGTAAAGCTGTAACTTTAGGTTTTCTGACATCTTCAGGACAGAGGAGTTTATGCTTTGCGGTAACAAGCTTACTGCCGAAATAGCTCAGTTGGGAGAGCGTTAGACTGAAGATCTAAAGGTCCCGGGTTTCGGCAGCTGGGGCAACTCCCTCTAAGGTTGAACGTGTACACACTGCCCATAACACTTTTGCAAATTTCCCCATTGGGGAGGAATAAAGGATTATCTTATCTTATCTTATCTAACATGACAGACTGAGCTTTTGGCTTCAAGAGACTTCAAGAGAGACAGAAATAAGAGGCTGGTAATGGAATGACTGTTTATATCTGCTATAATATATATGTTTCTTGGATGGATGTTCCACAATGTAAAATGTAACTATAACTGGATAAAAAAAGTATTATGTTATTTATCATTCTTTAAAAATATTGGCAGATTGCTTTGGTATAAGAGGAATTAAACTTTGGGATGTGTTGATATAGGAAAATAATCAGCTTTGCTTTGCTTTCGCTTCCTCACACCACAGCAAAAAGTTGATTATTTTCCTATCACAGCACCTTGTCTATTTTTATTTTCCATTTTGCTTTCTGTGTTTTGTTTGTAGAAGACACTGAAAAGGAGCTCAATAAGGCTTTAGATTTTATTGGGCATGAATAATTTTGTACGTGTAAATTCTATCAGTAACTCAGACTTCATGTTCCTTCAGTGACTCATGTAATTTGAGTTTAAGGTCAGGTATGTGATGTCACGTATCTGCATACAATGCAACTCTGATATCTTTCTCTCGGCAGTTACACACACTCCCACCTTCATATTTCAGTGAGTGTCATTTTATCATTCACAGGTTTCATCATGTCATAGGTGTGAATTACTCACAGATTTAAATACCAGGGAATTCCTCATCATTACGTTAAGCTGATGGCTTTGGACGAGTGGTGAAATAGCTTCAGGATTGAAACACACATCCACTCATTATAACCTGCTGCTGCTACAAACTGCACTAGAAGGTGCCTCACGTGTGTCTGCTTGTCCCACCTGGAATGTGTCATACGGCAAAGGGTGGAAAGAGTGATGTCACGGTCATTATGCCTGACTCACTGGCCTCTAAGACTTTGAGGTATGTAACACACACACACACACACACGCACACGCACCACTGACATAGATACCATCCTCTTCAAACATGATCCACACACACGGCCTTTGTAAACAACCTAGGATTACTGCAGATTAAACCAGATAAAAGGTTTCTTCCACCCACACACACACACACACACAGTACAGTCAGCAATCTTGGTGGAGGTTCTATCTGTCTATCTATCTGTTTGTCTGTCTGTCTATCTATCTATCTGTCTATCTATCTATCTATCTATGTAGGTGTCTGTCTGCCTGTCTATCTATCTATCTATCTATCTATGTAGCTGTCTATCTATCTATCTACCTATGTAGGTAGATGTCTGTCTGTCTGTCTGTCTGTCTATCTATCTATCTATCTATCTATCTATCTATCTATCTATCTATGAGCTGTATGTCTTTCCTGCGTGCCTGTTTATTTATCTATCTGTCTGCCTCCCTACCTGTCTGTCTGCCTTGGTATCTGTCCAAATGGGCCTAAAAAAGCTAAAAAAAAAAAAAAAAACCACAGAACTTCTGCTAACTTTTAGTGTTTACTATTACACTATGTACAGTATATCCTAACCCGAGCTGCACCATAGCTAACCAAACAATCTGGGCAAAAAGATCTTACAGGGAAGCTAAATTATTTATGTTATGCTCCAAACGGAAAAATGCCAACTTTTTTTCTGCTTACAGCTGTCATTTTTATCGTGTTTCATGTTTACATGAAGTGACGCATACATGTCTCAGTGCTCAGTGCTCGCAGAACTGAAGTGCTCTCACATGTGCTCTCGGCATGCGTGATTTACTACACCACGCTCACGAATTCCTCTGTGTACGCGCAATTCATTGCAGTTTTTCATTTTTAATGACCATGCTCGCTGATACTGCTCTGTGCAACCCCTAGTGTGTGTTCCCAGCAGTCATGATCGGTGACGTTTTCCAGCATTATGTAACAAAGCTGGCGTTTGTGAGTAAGAGCATTCGGCTGCCAAATCAATCAGGTGTATAAATTCCTTCAGTCCACTGACTTGATGATTTTTTTAAATTTATTATCCATTACTAAGTTTTAGAACCTGTTAATGTGTGTTAATTTTAGTTTCTTGTAAGAGTAAGGGTTGAGATATCTTTAGATATTAGTTTTTTCAGTGTGTCCTACATACGT